ACTATACACGAACCTTCTGGTTTAGACATGAAGTCATGTTATTTCAATTCAAATATTTTTTCCACGATGGAGTTTAATAGGTAACCGGCATGAACTGTTGTTCATCAGGAAAAGTACGATATACAATACAAGAGGAGACACTACAAAGTTCGAGAGCCTATATTTTAAATAAGATAAATTAAAAATAAAATATATGGATTAGTGTTGCCACCTTTTCAAAATCGCTAACTCGGACGGCAGGTCAGGGCCGTGTTCAGTAACGCAGAACACTTAGGTTAGAATTCTGAATGGCTTAGTTGGCGGAGCTAAGAATGTTCCGTGCATCATTGAACGATTATTCTTAGCTATACAACTGGGCAAAATAGTGGACGAAGTTAAAATTATGATCGCAACAATTGTGGCAAACGAACTGGTCGAAAAGTATGAAGTAACCTATAAATTATTCAAATGGAAGATGTGTCAGATCGTGATGAAATTAATAAAGCAATTATTAATTGTAATCAACGAAATGGACCGCTATCTTCTGTTAAAATGTATTCGGAATCTGTTAGATCGACGTATGATAATTTTACATTTCGAAGTCATTTTAGAATGAGAGAATAACTTTGTGATTGTCATAATAAAATACGTTTAGTCCAACACGAGCAGCCATCTTGCAAATCGTGCATGCCGGTTCTAAATCAGTTACAGTTAGGGACTAGGGACTTGCGTGGGAGTAACGTAAGCATGAATTGCAGAATTGCAGATGAGTTTCAGTGAGTGCGACATTTTTCGCTGTTAAAATAGTAAATTTGTAAAAATATTTGCAAGAACTTTGTTTCATCGTAATTTCACAATTTCTTCGAAATTCCCGGACAAAATTAATAGTTCACCCGGACAGTGAGTCAATTCCCGAACTGTCGGGTGAAAACCGGACGGGTTGTAACACTAACATGGATGATAAGGCTCGGTAGAGGCAAGTCGTCAAGTAAACGAGAGAAAAAACGAACCTTAATATATACTAACACTTTGAGCCCTGTGGGCAGTAAGAAGGCCTCTTTTTAGTTGAATCTGAATTTTTGTCAAAAAAATTCAGATTTAAATTTTTAAATTACAGTAGAGTGTCGTTTATCCGAATCAATTGGGGAATCGAGTTGTTCGGATAACCGATTATGTACGAAAAAATATATTAACCTATCCCGTGTTGAAATTTTTTTCCGTTGCGTGTCGCTTCGCGTTGAATTTTCATCGATGTTAAGCCTAATGTAAACTTTTTAAAATAATCGTCGTGGCTATTATATCGTTAAAAATTATTTTTTTATTTTTTACAAACAAAATAAATGTATTGAGAAATATAAAAACAAAATAATTATACTTTAGAAGTTAATCTAGTATCAAAAACGTTCGATTCAGCGTGACACAGTTCTCAGAAAACACCTCACAAAAGTGACTGGCGTCTAATTACAGAACGATTCCGTAGCCGTAGTTCTGGTTTTTACCAAGAGATGCCGCTAGTCTCGTGACGTTCAGATAGCGTATACCTCATACTGTACGGTGTGCTTGAAATTTTTTGTCGATATTTTAGCTTTAAAACCATACTTTATTATCGATAATTGGCTTTGAAGTATTCCCGCTACGTTGCTAAGAAATCGTTATGGAAAATATTGCGTTGGATATATTAGAAAATACTTATTGTTATTGCGATAAGCACTTCTCCTCAAAAGGAAATCTTACTAACAAGCATGTAGATTTAGAAGATAAGCAAATCCTGGTGGAGGAAAAGTCTATATTCTGTCGGAAGACTTCATGTTCTGAAGGATTTTCTACTTTCCTTCAATTACGTGAACATCTGGAGAAAGTACTGTACCTGTATAGTACATAAATTTGCCTGTGAAATTGAGAAGCTGGAATTCAAAACTATGAAGGGTAAGTAAATTCTGTTCTGAAATTTAAAAATGCTGTATTTAATTAATATATCTTAAAATAATTGTTTTCATGAATATTAACAGCTCATTCAGTAGTACTGTAATTAAAAATATTATGTACTGTATTTGACAGATTTCTACGAATGGAAAGTCACAGATAAGTTGAGAACCAACTAAAGTTAATTGTGTCGTACTGTCTAAAAATTCATGGAATTTATAAATTCTACTCGTGCGGCTCTGGCACATGGGATCATGACTACGCTCAGTTCAGAAATGTACTGTACTTACAAAAGGAAAACATTCAATAACAGATTGTGCATATGAAAATGTTGCAAATGTATAATTTTCAATAAATCTTTTTCATAAAGAAAACATCTTTCTTATGAATACTGTGGCATTTTTTCTTAGCTAACGTTCAAATGAATCATTGCAGATCTGTTAAATCAGGCTACAAAAAGTTCACTAATATTTTAGTGACGATGATAATTTGTTGATGGATTTAAACTACCAATTCAAAAGACTTTACTCAAATTACACAAGATACACTTAACTCTTGGTATTCGCTAGGGTTAGGTTGTTTAAAATTTCGTGAAAACCAAATAAGGATGCCTATGCAGAAAATTGAGTTTGGTTTTGTGGAACATTTCAAAGATAAACGTTAATTGTGAAATAAAATATTGCAAATTTTCTAATATAAAACGTTTAAATTATTTCTAAAAAGCAATGAATAATTTTATTAAATAATACAAAAAAAAAAATTCGAGTAAGAGATTGAAAATTCAGCAGGAAAATCTTGAGATTAAAAGAATTTAAGAACGAAAGTCTACATATTCTGTAGAATAACTTTTATAATATACTGTATAATTTTAAATATTTTGATAAAAATAATGAACAATAATCATCTTTTAAAGCTATAATATAAACATTGAACATTAGACAAAAGACAAATTTGACGTTCAACAAACGAACAGTAGCAAATTTTGTTCGTAATAAATTAATTCTGACTGTGGTGTATTTACACCACAGTCAGAATTATGCTTGTCCAGCTTCTTGACGTCACGAAGTAGCGACATCTCGTGGTAAAAAACAGAACTACGGTTATGGAATCGTTCTGTAATTAGACGCCAGTTAAAAGTGCCAGTGCTGCCAGCTAAAACACACACACCAACAAAAAAAATATTGGAGTAGCCCAAGATATAGCCAAAGATTGCAGCGCCACAGCACTAGTGAAATTTCATTTTGCCGACTGGAATGTTTTCGGATAAACGATGCTCTACTGTACATTAAACTTATTTATGTTCTATTGATCTATATTAATTTACGCTCAAACACTGGAACGTTCCAAATTTAAAACGTTCGAAATTAAATGTACAATTTCGTCGAATACGAATTTGAAGTTTGGAAAATTTTTGGTGAATTTTTTTTGCTTTTATTATTCTAGTCTTATAAAATAATGGATTGTTTATTAACCCATTTCTCTATTAGTGATAAAACAACTATTACAAGCAAGGGAAAATTACAGGATTCGCACATGACATGTTTTGTCCATATTCTAGAAAAATTTAATTATTTTGGGCTACATTTCCAGGAATTGTGCTTTTTTTTAAACCTATTTGGCAACCTGAGGTTCTCAGCAGACACGGGAAGTTTACCTGCAGTTTATTTATATTATTATTATTAATTATTAACTAACAAAAATAGTGTTCTGTATACGTAGCCTTATTCCATTTACTTAATAAATTATGTCATGACATTAATGACTACTCGTTAATTCGAAGTCGCGATTATTTTGTCCTTTGCATTTCGAACTAACGAGGATTTCTTGTACTGTCTTCAAGTGCAGACCGGAAGTTAATACGTTTTAATTTACAGAGAGCAACTGAAAATGCATGAAAGAAAGTTGCATTTATAAGAAATTGCATCAGTTTATGACTTCGAATCAATTCTTGGAAATCATAAAAACAACATTGCGTGCAATCCTTGTACGAAATTTATTAAAGAAAAGATAGAATCTCTGCTTCCCAGAATTATCTGCGGTTCTGGGGACATTGTAGTAAAAAAAACCCGACTGGATGACAGAGGAGCCTTGGTAATAAAAAGAACTGGAGAGGAAAAGTGAACGAACATCTATCTGAACGTAACAAAGGAAATGATGATAAAAGGTTTTCTTTTTCAATTCGTATTGGGCAGAGAAATTGAATTGGATGTGGAAAAAATGCCAAGCCTCCCTCACAAAATATTTGATCGATGGGATCTATGTGTCCTGATGGAAAAATTAAAGTCGTAATTCATTTAATCAATGGCGTGTGCAGTCAATGGAAGCTGTGGAAGCGCTGCTTCTCTTGTATTTTCAAAAATATAAATACATATTGTGCGATTATTTTCATAAACGAGATCTTATATTTTTGTTCTATGTCGATGTATCTATTTTAGAATTAAAATAAACTATATTTTTGTCATTTCCAGTATTTGTTTATAATTTTTATAAAAACAAAGCTTCCCTATCGTCAAATGTCATCACACGCCGCTGCATTTAATGGGGATTCAAGTCTTCTACTTTCGAGTGATTTCCTTCATCGTTATAATTCTCAAAGTAAATAACTTATACATTATAACAAATGCCATGCCATATCTTTATATAAAAAATTTAAATTGAATGGAATATATAACGTATGTTTATTCATATTATGTAGTTAATATTTATGGCTATTTATTTTTCTACCCTGTCTTTTTTGTTAATTGTTGTAATTATTTTAGTTGGTAGCACTCCATTTGTTGTTCATTTCTCCCGAAGAAGTAATATCTAATTGATTTACCCAAATCATTATTATTATTAAATTTACCATGTATTAATTTAGTATATTCAAATTTTATTTATAATAAATAATTAAGCGATATCGACAACAAAAAATCAATTTATTTAATAAAACAACACTTTAATATAATGAAAAAAGTTTAATATTTTGTAGTAGTGTTGATTCTTTAGACGTCATAGAAAATGATTATGTCGTCATGAGACACGTGAAGAGAGAAACACGTGCTTTTACGGATTTACGTTCACATTATCATCATCTCCCATTAATCATTTCTTCTAATTTATGAGAGTAAATGCACATTTGCTCGCAGAATAATCCATTGCTCGAATTTTTGATCGGATAATCTGTTACTTTTTGGCAAATTCATCATAGTGGTGGCATGGTTGAATAATCTTTCTTCTGGGGCCGAGGATGGTAGTGACGTGTTAAATTTTATGAAAATACCTTTTATTGGTTCGTAATTATTCAGCATTTGTAAAGTATTTCGCCGGACATTGAAAAAATTTGCTATTTCTACTTCGGCTTCGGAACTGTAGCTGGAATTAGGAAGCGTTTTCTTTACCCAAATGGCTTTCGGAATTCTCATTTTTTCTATAGACCTTCGTGTTATTTCGGCGGTAACAATGTCTTTCAGGACATTTAATAATTTATCATGATATTCCCGTGGTATACACGATAACCATCTATTCTTGAATTCCGGATGCGTAAATGCTGCTATTGCTGCATTTATGGATTCCTCAGATGAGAAAGTAAAAATATGTGAAAATCGTTTATTAATGCATTCCAAAAGACAGCGTACAATGGACTTACAGTAATGGAACTCGAGCGTATTTAGTTTTTCTAATTTACATCTTACAGCTACTAATGTAAGTACAACAATTCTATTGAATATTCTTCTCCCTGCAGAATATCCAATGCTTCGGCAATAGGTTTAGTGTATTGCAAATGTTCTTCTATGTACTTGAATTCTTCATCTGAAATTACAATACGAAGTTTGAAATAGTAATGTACACTTTGCCCTACTCTCTGATATGTCATTTGTGAACTGAGACACTTGGGACTATCTTGGAAAGGAGAGGAAGACCCACAGGTCACTGCCGACTTTGAATTTCCAAGATCGCGGAAATCTTGTAAACTCCTTATGTGTCAAATAAACGGTTTCTTGTAATCGCAGAGTCTGTCTCACTGTCAGTACCAATTACCCACACCCTCCGCAACCCCTCAACCCTCTTGACATTTCCATTATCAGAAACCTTACATAATTTTAAAAAATATATATAATATATTATATTCACTTAATTACTGTGACAACAATGTAGTGCTGCAGTGCATTGTTTTGTTTTATATCATTACTGTGACAGGTAGCATAAAGCACTTGCCTGTGTGGAATCAAAACTGTTACTGTGTGAAAAGTCTAAGTATTTAATTCTCCACATCCAAAAACTTGAATTTTTTTCATTTCTGAACAGTACTTTCTTAATTCTAATAAGTGTCCTCCAGTAGCCAAGTAGATAAAACCACTGAACACTGGTAGTTAGTAGTGGGTTTGGGCATTGTCAACAGTCTGACCACATGGAGTTTTCCAAGTTTTCTTCATGTTAGTAACACCTAAATGGGGTACGGCTTTCCATGAAAGTCATTCTGGGATGTATTCCCCTTGGCTGATTGCTCATGTGTTGCATTGCCAAAACCAAATAAACCAAACTAGTTCTAACAAGCTATTATTTATTGTGACATTGTCATAATAAATAATCGCTTATGTTAATAATTGCTATGTTGCTTGTAATAATCTACAATTTTTTTCAAATTGCAGCCAGATAAGTGCTTCCTTTATAAATTATTTTTGAAGCCAACATTAATAATTAACTTTCAGATGAATTATGTAATTTAAATTTTGCAATAATAGATTGTGTAAGAAGTATAATAATTTATTACACTTTGGATTACATAATATTGCAACGTAAAACTAAATTTGCAATAATTTAATTGCAATCAGATATAAGAACAAACTACAAATGCAGTTATTTGTTGATAAACTGATATCACAACATGAAAAAAATAAAACTTGAATTCAACAATAACAATGTCCTCAGCGGCTAATTAACAGTTAAATAGATCATTTAAAACTACTTGAAGCCAGGAGTATTCTATCAAGTAATTTGCAAACTATGTTTAACCCTTTTTTGTGCTTAAATTGCAAAGTTACAGCTTTAACAATAGCTACATACAAGTTACATTATCAATAGTACATTGTACAATTTTCTTGCCACCACAAATTGATGCCTTAGACATCTGCATGTCAGTCTGTTGAGAAAGTTGTTTTCAAACCAAAATGCTATGTGCAATTTTGTAATCATATGTTAATGTCCTGCTATGATTTGAAAACTGTGCAAAGTTAAATTTTGTTTTTAACTTTGAATATCTGACAAAAATACCCTTAATATGCTTTAAGAAGCCTGTAGCAATTAAGCCGTGGGTGAGACCACAATCTCTAAGACTTGAGTTAGAGATTGTGGTCTCATCCAAAAAGGCAAGACAAGTCAAAAGTGCAACAAACAATATGTTGATTGTTTTGAGCACGAATGGATTGTGTACTGTTTAATGTGTTTCTCCCAATCAGAAAGTTAGTTCAGACTTTTATTGCAATATTTTGAAACTACTGCAGAGGATGTTTGCTGCAAAAGACCCAGAACTGTACTGCAACTGAACTCGATACCATTATGACAATATTTCCACAGGCACAGCCTTTAAAACAAGTATTTTTGGTGAAAAATACGTGTCTTCCTCCGCCCCATTATTTCCTAGATTTAGCCCCTTGTGACTTCATTTTGAAGAAAGAAAAAAAAAAAGAGCAAGTGTTTCAATACAATTGAGAAAATCTAGTCCAAATCACAAGAGTTACTTCATAATTTTCAAAACAATAATGTCCAAGGGGCAACAGCTTAGAAGCAACAGTGGAATTGTTGTACAGATGCAAAAGGACTACTTTTAAGGGAATGGTGACCAGATTTAAATTATTAATATTTTTTAGTAAAATCCATTTTCTTTTTGATTACGTCTTGTATTTGTGTGTACTCTAATTCATAACACTGTTGTTATAAACAGTCAAATGACGACATATGTTGACAAATCTATTTTTTTATAGAACAATTTCAGATTATATCTCATTTTTGCTTCATTTTGACTTGTTGCAGTAACAATGATATAAACAAAATATCTTGAAAGTTTCCTAAATATTATGATCCAACCAATAAAATAGATTGATAATGAAAAGCATATGAAAGAAGCATATGAAAAGAACTGTATTTGGTCTATTAAAGTTAGGTTCACACTGTCATACAAACTACCACCAAAGAAATAGCGTTTGCATCGTAGTACACAAGATATACTGAATTAGAATGTGATCCTAAGACACTTACACATTCAGTCTCATGCATGTAATTAAGGATGCTATCCTATATGTATATTATATTAACAAGACAATATCCTTTGATTTATTGGTCTTGATAGCTAGACATCACTGAATACCTTAAATGCAACAAGGTAGTTATGGGATAATGATGACGTAGCTATCAGGGTCAATAAATCAAGGGATATTGTCTTGTTATTACAATCTACATATGGGACATCCACTCTTAATTACACACAGTACATGAAACTGAATGTGTAACTGTGCCTCAGGATTACTTACAAAAGCTGCAGTCCAGAATTCGACAAATTAGAATGCAATTGGATGAAAAGGTTTCAAACACATTATGAAAAGATGATTAGTCAAATGAACCAAAGTTTGTCAAAAGATACCAAGCTGACAGTTCATATCTACTTCATAGCAATTTGTATGCCAATCTGAACACAGCTTAAAACATTTAAATTTGAATATTCACTTACATAAACACCTACATCCATATTCACAACCACAGATGAAGAGAAGAGTTAGATCAGTGTTTCTCAACAGAGGTGATATTGCCCCCATGTGGGCGTTTTTCCATGTTGAGGGGGCAATTAGTAACAATTTATATTTTGGGGGTGAAAAACAATTTTCTAGGCAATATAGTAAAACATTATATTAATTAATTAAGAATAATTAGATATTTATTCATTATATCGTACAATAATTAAACAAATAACATTATACTAGTCACTAGTCTATTCAATGCAGTACGAATTTGGCGTTAGCCTTGGCCCTCGGCATCGGAATTTTGAAGTGAAGGGGTGATATTACTTAATGGTTTTATTGAAGGGGGCAATGATTCGCTAGAGGTTGAGAAACACTGAGTTAGATGTTAGAGTAATAAGTGTTCAGGTATGAAAGTAAAGTGAATGGTAATTGGTTAATTTCTAACTTCGTGAATATGGCGATTAGAAGATTATAGATCATTACAAGATTAACAATGTTTTTTAATGATGAATGCAAACCCAAAAGTGCTTAAACTTGTAATTTTTATGCTGCATTAAAGCATAAGAAAATTTTTTGTACTTTACATAAAATATTCAATACATGTAAATTTAGTTTTGAAAAGATTTAAGAGAGAAATTTCAAATTATTGCATTCTGACATTGGATAATTTGTAGAATTCAAAATTTTAACTTCTGAAAACCAAGACTAATTTCTCATTTCTCTTGGGAATTTTATTTATAATAAAAATGGATGAAAAATTGAAGAATATGTTTGATGAAACTAAACATTTATAAATAATAACTATAAAATCAGATATTTGTGTAATAAATGAGTCATGAAACCTGTTGTTCTAATATTTTGTAATTATTTACATAAAATACATTGAAAAATGAAATCATAACATATATATAGTTTTTAAATCCACACATTCAATGAAATTTTAAACATTTAATAACTTAATTGTTTCAAGTACATTAATTTGCAACTATAGCTGATATGAGATACAGGTATAGTTAATCTGGATTTTTTTTCCCTCCCTTCTGCACAGACAAAAAAGTAATAGCTTACAGATTAAATATGCCTGTTTTCTTGCAGAAATACATATACCAATTACAGAATTTTTCATGTTAATGAATCTGATTGAGACCATAAAACTAATCTGCACATTTAAAGACCGCCGACCAGATTCCGGTACGGGTGATGACGACCTAAATATGAAATATTACAAACTACACATGCTTCAAATTCACAGAATACTGTACAAATAGTTCACTAAATGTTATCTACATGTATTCTTTTTATCTATTGCACATTGCCAGAAACACATTCTTACATGAAATTAAAAAGAAAAATCAATCAGGAAAATTGTAAGAAAAGTATCTGGAAAGACAAGTGCATGTGAAAGTTTCACAACTTTGGATATAATCATGGAATGTGGTATATCCTATCCGATTAGAATGACCTAAAGCCACGGACATACCAAAAATCCTTTTAAGTATTGGAAATTTTTTCTTTTTTTTTCATTTTTTATATATATATACTACTCGATACAAATCTGAGATTCTGGGTTTCCATCCATATATTTTTTTTTCCTTTATATTTGAATTTGAAACACTTCAAAAAATGATTAAAAATGATGATTATATGTGAATATACATATTGCTTGAAAAATAAAATCTCCTGTACATCAAATTCTGCAAAATAAAAAAAAAAAAAAAAAAAAAAAAAATTAAAACAGTTTTACCTGACGTATAAATTGCAGATAATGGTACTGTTGTAATCTGCACCTTTCTATGCCCGAAATACATATTGAACCAACCTTTTTTCGAGTGTTAAGTTTATTACAACAATGAATAAAACAGGAAAATGTGCACAAAATAGCCTCAACAAAATTATTAACATCTATCAGCTTGCTTAATGTTCAGCCTCTGGTAGTGAGGATTAGGGCAACGATCAACCCATACAGACCCAATACTTCAGCAAAGATCAGGATTAGAATCATTCCGACGAACAACCGAGGTTGCTGTGCAGTGCCGCGAACACCGGCATCGCCGACAATTCCAATGGCAAATCCGGCAGCTAATCCACTTAATCCTACACTGAGTCCTGCACCAAGTTGGAGAAAACCTCTATAAATAGAAATTTAAATAATAGAGAATCACTAATTTTTTATACATATGAAAACTAAGATAAATTATACCTTTTTTCTATAATTATTAAAATCATTCAGACTCATTTATTAAAATATAAATATATAATTGAAAATTTCAATCTAAATTTAATATCTTAGACAATAAAAATTATACAAAGTATTAGCTTTCAGTCTTCTGTAAGAAGGAGAATAGGGCTGTTCATAAAATAACGTGTGGGTGGGTGGGTATATAGGTAATCATTACAATGTGTTACAAGGGGTGCATGATTCATTTTTGTTTCTGAAGTGTTGCTTAGCAAATCATACTGTTTATGTCAGTGTTTTGTATGTTATACATGTAAATACAATAGCCCCTTGTTATACTGCACATTTAGAGACAAAGTGATATAATAATAGAGTGTCATGTTGTAACAGTTAGTACTCCCTGCTGTGTATTATTGTTAAGCACAATTAAGAAGTTGATTAAGGATGTAAATTTCATAATTGTTGGCAGGGTTGAGAAATTTGTTTTGTTTTTTTTTTTTTAAATAAAATAATAATGCACATTTTATTTAGAAACCTATGTTCTTTTGTTTTAAAACAGTCTTTTACAATGTAATATAAAACTATGTAGGAGAAACAAATTAAAAAGTAAGAATTGTCTTCATATTTTGTCTTTCACAAATTAAAGATACAAAAAGTATATTAAAAATGTTGTATATCAAAGAAGACAGATACTCAAAGAAAAGACAATCCACTAAAGACTCATCAGGCTATTGTTGAATCCTGAAGGTGTGAAGGATAAAATATGAATACATTTTTTAATTTATTGTTTCTACATGTCCCACAATTTCAATATATTTCTAGAAAGTTTTATAGCATAAAATATGCTATATATATTCTTACTACAAGTACCCGATTTAAAAAAAAAAAAAACACATCAAGTGCAAAACAAGAAAATGTATTAGAAACAAACAGATGAAGCTAGTGTATGTATGTTATTTCTGGCACAAACTACTTCAACAAAGAATAAAAAATATATATTTAATTTTTAATAAAATTCTTTCTAATATGATAAAATCAATGTTGAACTATTCAGTAATCTGTTTATGATAACCATAAATTAGTTTTGGACTGAATATTTGTCATTATTTGTTATTCAGCTACAAAACTANAATTAGAAACAATATACCCATGCATACACACTTCCAGCAAATATGTATTTAATTCAAAAACATATCATTTGCTGGAAATGTATATGCATGGTATATTGTTTTTTATAATTTATCTACATTCCAGCTATTAGACACTTATGTTATTTACATAATGATCTCACATTTTATTATGCAACTGTATTAAAAATCTTATGGTCCCAACACATACGCTCTTGCTCTGTCCCCACTGACGTGGCAGCCAGGACAGGCTATCGGTGTAACCAGGATGCTTGGATATTAAAAGTCTACTTCAACAAAGAATAAAAAATATATATTTAATTTTTAATAAAATTCTTTCTAATATGATAAAATCAATGTTGAACTATTCAGTAATCTGTTTATGATAACCATAAATTAGTTTTGGACTGAATATTTGTCATTATTTGTTATTCAGCTACAAAACTATCTTGTATTAGCCGAATGTCATTTTAATTTGGGGGAGAGAAAAGAATTCAGCAAGGAAAAATAATCCATAAACTAACATTTTCTACCATATTCAACAGTCATCTTCAGGATAAATGTATTTTATAAACAGGACATAAAAAACTTTAGTAACAATAATTCAGTAGCATTTAGAATGCTAAAACTATATCATCATTGGTCACCTTGGATAGAACATCAACAAAAATGTAAATGTATAATAGACCAAGATAATATTAAAATAATAATACTGTATTTGTTTTTTAAAAAAATATTGTATTACATTTTGTAATTTTTTGCTCTTCCTTGAGATATTGTTTATAGGATAAACTTAGTCCTGTGAATGTAGTGACGAGGTTCAAAAGATCAAAATGCAAATACAAGAAAAATGAAGAAAATAACAAAGTATTGATTTAAGTAATTTTTAATACAAGTTTATTGTTTTTAGCATTTGACCGAATTTGATCATTTTGTTTTTCAGTGCAATAATCTTTCAAATTACCCAAACAAATAACATTATACTAGTCACTAGTCTATTCNCATTTCATTTGCTGAAAATGTGTATGCATGGTATATTGTTTTTATAATTTATCTACATTCTAGCTATTAGACACTTATGTTATTTACATAATGATCTCACATTTTATTATGCAACTGTATTAAAAATCTTATGGTCCCAACACATATGCTCTTGCTCTGTCCCCACTGACGTGGCAGACAGGACAGGCTATCGGTGTAACCAGGATGCTTGGATATTAAAAGTTTTAAAAATAAAAAGTAACAAAAGAATAAATCAAATGGCATTTTTACGAGTATTTCTTGAAATCACTAAAAGTTTCTTCTGAAAATGCTTAAAGTATTAAAAATTGTTATTAATGTTATGAATAATCATTTTAGTATCGAGATTTTGCCTCTGATAGCAAAAATGCTAAGATTCTAGAAATAAACCCATAAGTTATTACTCTTGAAAACTGATATATCAAAGGATGCTGCTTATAAACAGAAAAATTAATATAAATGGATGGCTCAATAAACCAGCTTTAACACTCGTTAAAATGAAAAAAGAACTGACAAAACAATAATAATGATTGTTGTCTTAACTTTGTCATTTTTGTACATTGCCTTAATGACTAAATGTTTAAGAAAAGTTTAATATCATAATAGCAATCAATTTGCAAATTATTTTAATAATGTAAATTTCCCTCTCTTAGAAAGACAGAAATGAATGTTTCAGCTTCCATTATTAATAATTTGGTCATAAATTTTAAGTTGGAATTTTATTTGAATACCTTCTGCTCATCCAATATATGAAAGTTTATGAAAATTTTAAAGTGCCTACTGTCAATATTTTTTTTACTTAATATACTCTCAAACTATAAATCCTCAGCATACTTACATCATTACTGAAAGCTCTAAGGAAAAAACCACTTCGTATTTCAAGAAATATTAGTTAATACAATATTACATAATTTGGTTACACACAACAATCTGGCCCATGATGATAAATTTTATTTTTATAAATAGATTTTCTCTCCCAGTTTTATTCAGTTGGACCATGCAATTGATATCCTGAATTTGATTGGTTCCAGAATGTCCAAACTGACAAATCATCATTGAAATTGGCTAAAAAACCAAAATAGATAAATAAGAAATCAAATAAAAAAATTTGAAAGGAATTCAATTACTGCAGATAACTTTACAGATAAAAGAAGAAAAACTATAGAAACAATTAGATGAACATGCAAAGATAATATCTACTAAACATTACTGTCTATAGGCATTAAAACACTTATTAATACAAGCATTTTTGACATTTCCACTAATGCTATCCTCAGGAAAAAGAATATAGCTTTAGAACAATTCAATTTTTTAAAAAAGAAACACTACATATTTAAAATGAAGAATGGATTTTAGAACACAACGCTAAATAAATTTAAACTAACATACTACAATAATAACGTGTGCATAGAGATAAATCAACATGGAAAATAATAAATATTACATAAAACAAAATGAAGGGAGATAACATAAGTGTTAAATGCTCAAGTTTTTAAAAAGCAATACCCAAATTCAGCATTTAACACTTATTTTATCTTCCTTTAATCCTAAAATACTAAAACACTTATTAATACAAACAAAATGATAAACATTTTGTTTGTATTAAAAAGTGTTTTAATGCCAATACTGTAATGTTTTAGTATTTTAATAGAAGAAAAAGTTAGTGGTTTGAGTTTGCTGAAATCAAGCTGGCAAGACAGCCTAAGCTTGATTCTAAATTTCAGCAGAATAGACTACACTAATATGTAACATTAAATGTTATGTTTATATAGAAATAGTTAGTCAAATATCATTATCTGAATATAATATGTACCTGAAAATGATTAAAATTCTGGAAATTCAGATATCAGGAGGTATGCTGAAACTATGCTGAAGAATGGAAAAGGGAAAGATTCAAACAATAAAAAATAATTTCTACCCAAAATCTTACTAGTTTAGCTAGAGAATATTTGAGAAAAATTGGGAGGACCAAATCATCCTTAACAGAAGTGATAATACAAACTCTTAATTAAAGGAGCAATTAAATCTTTAATTTCAGTAAATTTTCCTGCTTATTTTTCTTCACACAAATTAGAATATAGTTAAAATTCATAAAATTAGAAATTTTGTAAATATTATTTTGATAATGAAAGAGCTACTCTGATAAGTAAAGAGTGTAGACATTATGTGTATAAATAAGGAAAATGAAGTATTGTGTTTATTTTTATATTTACTTTAAACAAATTGATTTTGAAATGTGATGTTAACTGCTAATTGAACTAATCAGACTATAGTAAGATGTAATAAAAGCAGCAGTATCTGAAGAGGCTAGACAATAATAAATTGAGTCCATAGCCTGTGTGTTATATTGAATACAGATGCTTGAATTGTATCAAGTTACGAGTATACTGGAGATGATGATCTCATGTTTTCAGAGATATGATATGAAATATTTTTTAAAATTAAAACTTTTTTTTCCTCTGTGTTGAAACAGTACCCTCCTTTATATTATATTTTTTGAGACATCATGAAGTGTCAAACGCAATGTTTTTGACATAACATGAATACTCGGGTAAAATTATTGTGAAATCAAATTAATAATTATGCAAATTATAAATCTGTAAATGCATATATGTGACCATAGGGTCGGTGTCTCTGACACCGTGTCAGGATGTGACACCATCGAGTCTCTCAGGAAATCGTGATGGATAGTTCTTACATCATGTGAGCAGTCGTGTGTAAGCAATTAAATTTGGAGTAGAGGTGAGGAGAGAGAAATGAGGAAGTGACTCACTTCGATTCCAGATTAATAAACAATTTAATTTCAATGGGCAGGCATA